GGCCTAGACCCTTCATCAGAAAAAGGGTCTAGGCCCGAAACGTCAGCCTCTCTGCTCCTATGATGCTGCTTGGCCTGCTGTGTTCATCCAGCCCTGCACCTTGTTGTCTCGGATTCTCCAGCATCTGCAGTTCCTACTATCTCTGGTAAATTTTATTGCTGTGAATAGATGTCCGTAGACATCTTTTGAGGACAGCGGGCAGTGGCATCTTTTGTTTGAACAGAATTGTGGTACAACTGGCTATTTCTAAAGCTTGAAACATTTGCCAATGCAGTAGGAAAGTGTATTTGTATGCTTTCCAAAACCACTATCTCTATGTAATTGCTCGTTTTCTGTTGCTCCGTTATGAAGCCGGTGAGCAACTCGGTGACATTTGCTTCAACCCTACCAGCCATCAGGAAATGAAAGAAAATGTGGAGAAAGTGCTGCAATTCATAACATCTAAAAAGATCCGAATGCACCAGACTTCTGCTCGAGGTGAGTCTACAATAACAAAACGTTGTTTTAATAGAACACCTTTAAAGTTTTTTTAAAAGCCCCAAGGTGCGTCAAAGAGATGGCTTTATCTAGGGGAATTGATTAAGTCAAATTCTATTTTTATAGGAACAGGAGTAAGCCATTCAGCTCTTTGAGCTGTTATTTTCTATTCTATTTTTGTTACAATCAACTTTGTCATGTCTTTTTTTTGCATTTCCATTCCTTTTTCTATGAAACTGCTTCTCTTTCTCTGACAGAAGAGATGATTGACAGTTCAACAGTCATAACATGATTTTATGGCATCAAAGACTTGCATAAATCATTTGTATTATTCCAGTATTGCCTTCAGTTTTCAAATGGATCTTGTTGCTGAGCACTTGCAATTGATAAAATAAATTGTTATAAGAAGGGAAGAGCAGATGAGAGAGGAAAATTGGAAAATAAAATAGTTGTTATTGGAAATAAACATTTTATTTTTCTTGCCAAGACATCGTTGAAGGGAACCTGAAATGCATAATGAGACTGATTCTAGCATTGGCAGCTCACTTCAAACCATCTGGTGTTCGATCTGCCAGCCAGTGGTCTGCAGTACCCATGAAGAACAAGTCTACAAACTCTTTGGACAATCACAGGCCACTTTCTGCCACTGCCATGGTGCAGACAGCTGCTGCAGCTCTTGCAGAGGTTCGGCAAGACGTTTCTCGATCTGGACGGGAAATATTCCGATACAAACACGAAGTACAGAGGTGAGAATAGGATTTTTGGTATTCCTGAACATGATACTTTTTGCATGTTACTGTCGTATTTCAATTGCATTGGTATTTTGTGTGGTGTTAAAATGATCACTGTAGAGGTAAAGCTATTATATGTTTGTGCTATTTTAGTGATAGCACTAACAATTCTAAGAATCAGATGAACAGCATTCTATGCATGGTATAAAATTGAACTGCCACAAAGAAAAACTCCACAGTCACATTGTCTACAGCCAAAGTTTTTATTCATTTCGTATGCAAAATTTAAATTACTTTTCTCCACTTTTTTTGTCTTAAATAACATGTTGAAAATGAAATACACAAACAACTGGTCTTGTTTCAAGCGACAGAGATATGCAATAACTGCTGGTATAGCCAGTGATGCACACATCCCTTGAAGCAAATAAACTTAAAACAAAATTTCTAAATGTAGTTTTGTGATTCTGTACCTAAGTAAGAAAAACAAACACAAGAAACACACCAAGAAGTGCCTCTCAACCCAAACTTCAGCTATTGTTGTAATATTCAGAATTTGTTTTTGCTGGGAGAATTGCATAATTGCGCCTTTTCCTGGTGATAGTCGAGATTAAACGGGTGGTACTTGTGATTGTGCCTGGAGCTCATATTATACACTAACAGGACTAGGATGTGATTGCCCAACAACAGATTCAGTGAAAGAGGAAGTAAGAAAAATCTGCTGTTTTAAACATCAGCTGGGAAAAAAACTAAAGATAATTTATCTTCAATGCAAAGCAGGCCTAACACTATGCTCCACTTTACCTGTGAATGTTGACTTGTCTTCATTGTTCTCCCAGCAGTTTAATTCTGTGTTAAGTGTTGATACTCATGTCTGCATGAGTGAAAGCTGGACTTGCGATCTAAAATTAACTAGTATCATTGGAAATGTAAAATTTGAGACAGTTCATATTTGTCTTTAGTTATTTATGCAGAAACATTCCGCTCTTTATCCAATCATGTATTGATTGTACTTATTTTTTTTTGATATTCTTTTTAACGTATCATTACACAGCTGATGGAACAGGCAGGCTGTTTCCAGATTTCAGACTGCTCTACCTTTCCATTAGCTGCTACAAGATGCATGTTAATAACTCTGATGTTGTGCTTTTGTTTTTGTGTGTCTGGTTCTAATAGTAAATTTCGATCATATGGAAATACAGGTAACTTCTAATTAGTTCTTTGTAATGTATATTGCAAACTGTCCCTTTGGGAATTATGTGGATTAAAAAAATTATGGGTCAGTTGTTTTAAATATTTATGTGACCAATAATATGGTAATCACAATGCAACAATTCATTGACCGTACTTGGCATCTGCATTAGGCATTCTGTATTGTTGTATTTATGATATGATCAGGGCATCATCTCCCAAGGTTGCAAGGCAAATAGGATTCACAGACTGTGCATTTGGCTTATTAAGTAAACCATTTCTGTTGCAGGTAGGTGACCAGCCGAGAGGCATTTCATCTTTGAATATCCATTTAGAATAGAGGTTCACATATGGTCACCTTTCAAGAGAATACTTTGGGCATCTCAGGTTTGCTGCCAGTACTATTTGACCCTCCCTGTGCAACGGAAATCTAATCACACAATATGGGCCCATCAGTATTTCAAGGACTGGTGTCCTGTCATACACCCCAGTGCTCCTGAGGCCTCTGCAATGTTATGTCTGAGAAACCGGAAATATACATAATTGGTTGACCTCACTTAGGTCAGTTTATTAGTTTGCACATATGGACAGCGCCCATGTAACAATAGCTCATTTTTGATCCCTAATTGTTATGCGAATAAAGAGTATTTTAGTATGGGGGCTGTTCTTCTAATTTCAGACAAATAATTTACTAGAAGCACTATTTTGCGGAGTGGATATGAAGAAGAAACTGTTGCATAAGTGCCCTCTGCTGGTTGTCATGAAATTAATATAAAGTCCAGTTAAGTACCAAGTGCTGAAGTTTTCACCCCAAGCCTAGCACAGTTTCTCACCAAATCTTGCCAAACTTGCCTACCCTATGGCATCTGTCACATTTAATTCTAGCCTTGTCTCAACACATGCTGTTCCCAGAGCAACACATCAAACATCCGATAACCACCAAAAGATCGGCACCCCTGTGCCTGCTCAATCTTTGAAAGTCTGTAATGCACCTGGACAAAGTGTTGGCAGTCTGGTGATGGCACAGCAGCCACAAATTCACATTGCCACAGCAGATAACCAATATCGCTGAGAAACCTTAGCACATGCAACCTCCTCCTCTCACCTTGATAGCAGTTTAACAACCACACCACAGGCTTTAACTGTTGGTAGCTACATTCAGTTTGAACACCCTCTCTAAGTTAGCACTATCCTGTCCCCAGTGCCCACTGTAGACCCACATTTTGTCATTGCCCTGTAGGATAACATCACATAGCAATCACCTCTTCTAGAACAACTAGGGATTTACAATAAATGCTGACCCAGCCAATGATGCCCTCATCCCATGAATAAATTCTAAAAAAAGGCAAATCCAAACATCATCTATTATTTACAGAAAGGAAAAACAAACACAGACAAAACCACTAGAGGCTGAAGCTCATTGAAGTTCAATTCAGCTGTTCCAAAGACAGTGACAGCTTCCAATTCCCCACAAACCTTGTCCTGGTCCTCGGAATACAGCTTGAAATGAATTGGTGTGATTTTGCTCAGATGGCCTTGGCCACTATCCTCATACATTTGTGGAAGCAGGACTGAAATCCCACACAACCAATCTGTTGCTACCTGAAAGGAGCAAGTAAAAGTTCAGAGCTGCAGTTCACAAGTTTACAAGTTCACAACCACCCGGAGAAGATGACGTTCCACTCATGCAGCCTGCAGGTCCTGCTCCATCGTCCAGCATAGTTCAGTTACAGTCTCCCGGGACATATGGAGCCTGTGTTGGCAGTTCGCCTTGCTTATTCCTAGGCAATGGAGTTGGAGTGGAAATACTCTGGGCTTCCTGCTCACCCCAGGCAGATGCCACTATCTATGGATGAGGGAGGCAAGTGGGTGGTGCCCGTAGATCACACCCTGATCTGCAGTTTGATCAGACTCAACTCTGAGGTCACTTACAGCAAATAGTGAGCTGAAACTTCAAGTTCTCCCCCTGGGTTCCATTGTTGGGTTTCCTCCAATGGGTAGCTTGTTTGGTGAGTTTCGCAAATAGAAAGCTGAATATTAATGCGATGAGTTGGTTCATCGACAAGACATTTATCAAGCACTTATCTCCTTTATTTGACAACTTGCTGCAGCCGACTGAGAAACTTGTCCCACTGCTTATGAAAAGCATAAAAGATGATGTGAGTTGCCACTGATATAGAGATGGCTGTCTTTGACTTCTTGTCCAATTCTGCCACAAATCTCTTTACAATCCATATCGCTCAGGCGTGTATAAGATTCTGCCCTGAATGTCTTGCAACTTAGCGTTTTTCCTAGATACTAAGAAAATAGACTTGTAGGATGCCATAATTTCTGAAATTTGGAGATATGGAAGAAATTGCATAAACTTCCCTGTTTAGATTTCCAGTGTGGCATAGTGTGACTGTTTTATTTCTTTCTGTAGCTTTGAGGATGAAGTCGGAAGTCACACCTGGAGTGTTCGGGCAATGGTGCAGCAGTATGAGGGGCAACAGATGCCTTTATCTCCTCCACTTTCCCCAAGGTATTATAGTTACTCATTATGATTGTACTGTCCTTTAAATTTACTCTTAGGTGTGTAGCTATTTCCATTTATGCTTGTTGTGTCTGGTTAAATGTTTTAATCGTTCTTCTGTGAAACTTGGGGAACTTGTAAAATTGGTAGTTAAAACTTGTATTCTTCACTAATAGTTCTAAAAATAATACATATTAAGAGATATTATTTTAAAAAGGTTTTGAAGTTAAGTTGCAGTTCAAACATGACGCAAGATTTTAGATTTTTCTTTTAGAGGATGGTTAAGTTGGGTGATAAATTAGAAATAGGTAGTACATGAGGTTACCTTTCAGCCAGGATTGGCAGACATGGTTCTAAGGTAGTGCACTTGTCTTTTGCCATTTGAAAGAGGAAGAGAATGGCACATTAAGGGGATAAATTTCTCTGAGCTTAGTTCCCACCAAGTGAGTAAGATTAAAATTAGTCCATTATTCTATAGAGTCACACAGCATGGAAAAAGACCCTTCAGTCCAACTTGTCCACACCGACCAGGCATCCCAGTCTGACCTAGTCCCATTTGCCAGCATTTGGCCCATATCCCTCTTAAACCCTTCCTATTCATATATCCATCCAGATGCCTTTTAAATGTTCGGTCCGGACCCGAAATGTCAGCTTTCCTGCTCCTCTGATGCTGCCTGGCCTGCTGTGTTCATCCAGCTCTACACCTTGTTATCTCAGATTCTCCAGCATCGGCAGTTCCTATTGTCGCCAAGTGAGGACTGAAACCTTGTTACCGTTCTAAATTTTATGGCTTGGATAATTTGTAGATAAACTTGTTGAGCTATTGATGGAACACCGTAGCCCTCTGAACTGTTGCAACTGTTGATCTGAGATCTAGAATTAGTACATACTCATTTATATCTAAATAAAGACCATAATAACATGCTATGCATTATTTTGTTGCTGTACTGAGCATTAGGTTGCGAAAAGCCTCAAAGAAGTTACATGAATGGCTAATTATAGTTCAAAAGCACAGTACAACTATAAAAATATATATCCTTCAATAGTCTCAGGATAAAGGAGGATTTTGTTAAATTAGCTGAGTTCTGTTATGGTCCCTTGTTTCCTTTTGGAGGTTGATTATTCTCTACTTAGATGCAGTACAGCTGCTGTGGGTAAACTAGTTCAGGACCAAACCAATTGTTAAAATATAGCTTGATTGAATTGAAGGTGAGAACAAAAGTTTAAATCTATCATCATTTTACCAATAGCTATTCCCAGAGCGATTGTAAATTGAAATCTGTCAAATATTCTTCAGTTGTGCAGTGTTCCTTTGTTTTGGCTAATGCAGTGTGTGAACTGTACTGTGCTGTAATGAGCTGTACTGTGATATGTTAAGATATGGATTTACGTATGCCGTTCTTTACATGATGCAATGTTGACTGTGCTGCGGTGAGTAAGGTGTTTAAAAGTGCTTCTGATGGTGGAGTGGTAGAGGAATTTGTACTTGGAGTTGCCAAGAATATGATTACACATGCCATTTACACAGATTTTGGGGCAAATTGGTAGACCTCCATGTTCCTGGACAAGAACATGCAAATGTAATGTTTATGGCCATGCAAGAACCAGTCACAGCAAATTGGCTGCCTGTTTCACACTCAGCCTGACTTCTCTTTTAAGTTTTTAACAAAGTTTCACTATTAATAAGCCCCTCATCATAGTCTTCTAGATCAGAGTTTTGACTTGTGTATGTTATAGACGATTTAACTTTTGCTACTTTTCTAGATAGTGCAATTTAGTTTGATTTTATCAGAATTTATTCTTTCTTACATATATTCCTGGCAGCATGAGAATTTTAAAGCATCCAATAAAAACACTGTTTAGAAATGTACACTGGCCCTTTTTTTTGGTTGATGCTGATATATATAACAAAAGTAATTCAGTAAAATTAAGATGCAATTTTCGTCTTGTTTGCTCAGTGGAAATCCAGTTGGGAGACAAGAAATTACTTGGAATTAGTCAAACTATAAGAGTAACAAACCTCTTTAGCTATTGCTACGTGGTCAGTGTGCACTACCATCCTTGCTAAGCTGGAATGTCTTGAAGCATAGAAAGAAAAAAGTGATTTGGTTCTTTTTCCTGCAAAATAGCCCTTCAAAAGACAAGATACTGAGTCTTTTTTTTTTACCCTTAATATGGGCATCTTAATATTTAACCAATCTCACAATATTTACATTATCTTTGTTTATTAAGAAAATGTTAGTCATCTTCTCCAACAAATATTTGAGAGAAATAATCACTGAGAATGTTGTTTTGTGTTTGACCACAGTTTTGATTTGCTTGCCATTCTTTAAAGTTCATCTGTGATTGCAAAAATAAGTACAGTTTTTGCTAGATATCATTTGACTGACTTGAATAATGAAGTGGCATTTGGCAAGAGATTGAACTGTCAGCAAAGCGGAGGCCCTAGTATTGATTTCAATTAGAAAAAGGAAAATTAGTCAGAATTTCCCCTAATTATTAAACAATGAACACCACAGGAAATATATAGGTAAGAACAGAATAATTAAGGTTCTTTTGCCACATTGGTAGTGTTCCTACCTCTAATTCAGGAGACCTGGGTTTAAGTCTCACTTGCTGGAGAAATATGTAATAAAACTCTCTGAACAGGTTGATTAGAAAATATTTTTAAAAAGAATAAAATAATTGGGCCAGAGTTCAACACTCTGGGAATGGGCTGGAATGGAGGACGGTCTATAAAATGTCCAGAGAAGTCGGTGGGTGGAGACCGCATTGTCTGCTCATGCTATTCTGCTAGAGGCAAGGAAGGAGATGGATGGCCTGCCAACCAGGAGCCCAATTGAGCCTCTTCAGTGGCTAGGTGATAGTGATTTCCCATTTGGGTTTGCACTTAGTTATTCTGTTGGTGAGGGTTGGGGAATGACTCCTCCAGTGCACAGGAAAAGTGCAGTGGGCTCTGGAGGGTTATTATTCCTCCTTTTTGGCACCTTTGGTCCACAGAATAGTTCTCTGCCCTGTGGCAAGAGTACCACCTTCTCCCTATCTCTACCCTCCCTCGCCTCACCCCTCACTATACGTTTACCATATCTCCAGGACCAGATAGACTCTGGCATCCCAGGTCCCACTTCTTCAGTTATGAGGGCACATAGCCATTACTGTGTCATTCTCCTCCAGTTGCAGTCCCAGTAGTGGTCTCGGCCCTGGAGACACTACTGAGGCTGCTGAGCTGTTGTCCCTCTAATTGATTGGCAGATCTTGGGGGCATGCCACCATCTTTAATGGGGAGATCTGTACCATGTAGCAAATAATTAATTGGGCTGGGGGCATGCTGACAACCATAGAGTGTTTGCTTCTGGCTTTTGGGCCCATTAAAGGTATTAAATTAGTCCATTATGTATTCCATGGATTGATAACCAGTTGTCCTTGATTGGTGAGGTTCTTTCATGGATATTTACTTGGGTGAAATGGAGCTTCTTTATCCAGAGTACTGCACTCTTTTATGTGCGTTTTACCAGATTCAGGAGAAGACAGAAAATAAAATCTGAGGACAGAAGTCTTGGGCAGTGGATGGAGGGTTTATTTGAAGTAAATAAAATTTGGAGTTGAGCCCTGCTGCATTTTGTTTCTTTCTTAGTTAACAGCCTGTGACCCATCTAGTCAGTCAAATACGCAATCCGGTTAAGTCTTTAAATTATTTCTAGTACTAAGTGTCATGAAGTGGATTATTTGTATAGAGAGCACTTCTTGCAAAAGAACTTGGCGCTGTGAGTGTGGCACTGAAGGTACAATGAAAGTTAGAGGAAAACAATTATATAAGGAACTCCAGGAACTTTCTCATAGTTGCTAATTTTTAAAAATAAAAAGTAATTCAGAATCATTCCATGTTACTGCAATCTGGGACATCCTTCCCCCAGGATTGTATTTAATTGGTGTCAGTTGTGATGCAGTTCCATGCTATTTTAAAAATCTGGAAATGGGATAATTTCGCAAATTGAGAACTTGGCAATTTGAATGCTTATTTCTTTAAACTTGAGAACGTCCATCCATCTTTTTTTAACCCTAACTTATCCCGCTAATATAAATATTAAGTTGAACCATCAAAAGTGTATTCACTACTTTTAAAAACTGAGAGAACTGCAGATGCTGGATATCAGAAACAAAAACAAAAACAAAAACCGAAATTGCTAGAAAAGCTCAGCAGGTCTGGCAGCATCTGTGGAAAGAAATCAGAGTTAACGTTTTGGGTCCAGGGACCCTTCCTCAGAATAAGTCTGATTTCTCTGTACAGATGGTGCCAGGCCTGTTGAGCTTTTTCAGCAATTTTTCTTTTTGTTTACTATTTTTAATTTGATACACCTTTTTTGTCCAATAATGAACATTTCAGCCTTTTAGTGTTTATTTCTCCAGGGAAATTATTTGTGTCTGTTCCGAGTAGAACTGGAGAAATGTGCAAAAATATTTATTCTTAAAAACAATTGATTTATTGCTCAATTTAATTTATACCAATGAAGTATCATTCAACAAACCTTCAGTCCTGTAGTACTAAAACCTTTAGACGCTAGAGGCTTCAGATTTGACCTGAATTTCTGATGAATTAGCTAATTGCAGTCAGGACAGCAGTTGAGACTGTTATTTGGCTTTAGCATCTTTGAGCCTGGGTAAGAAGAAGTAGTTAGAGTTCCTGCTCCTAAGCATTGAGTATTGCCCACAAGAGGAAAATGCAGACATGTTGTCATTAATCAGGTGATTGACCGGACATAGCTGATGCTATGCATGATAAACGGCCCCGATGACACTAATTGTTTAAAGGATTCAATTGTAAGGATTCTAGACCATTCTTTCAGATCCTCTGTCTTTGTTCCATCTGTTCTGATGATGCCAGTTTGGACAAGGGGCCTCTGAAATGTCCATCTTCTTCCTTTACCAAGGATTACCCAGCACCGTAGTTGACAAGGCCCTCAGCTGGGTTCGATCCATTTCCTGCACTTTGGTCCTCACTTCCTCTCTTC